GTGCTCAACGAGCCCAACATGTGAATCTCGCAAAACCTCTTGAGAAATGGGATTTCGTACTTATCTGCAGCAACCGATAAAGTATAAACGTGCCTCTCGATTTTTTCTCTCGGGAGGCTCCCTCTGTATAGAAACTCGAGGAGCGAACCCAACTCATCGTGGTTAAGCTCGGGAAGAGTTATCGTGTGGTTCGGTGGGGCCTTGCACTCGTCCGAGTCGAGTATGTTCCGAAAAATGCTCGATCTTGCCGCCTGCATGTGAAATTTGTTTATTAAAAGCTTTCGAAATTTTAGACGTAGCGAAACGAAAAATGGAGTTTTTTTTTTTTTTTTGCATACCAGTAAGGCTCGATGTGCGGGAATAGAGGGTTCGTTTTTTCCGGGCTTGACTTGGATGTCGGTGTGAATTTGATCCTTAAAAACTATTGCAAACTCACTCAAATAACTAATCTTCTCATTTTGCATCTCTTCCATTTCCTTCATCTCCTTAATCCATTTTAACGCGTTCGCAAATCCCTAATCGATGAGTAAATCGATACACATGTATGTATTAGCAACCTCGTTTTAATTTCAAACAAACGAGGATAAATTTATTTATGACGGGCTATGAGAAAAACCGTACGTGATCGAGAATAATAATAATAGCGTGCATTGCAAATCGGGAAGAGAAGAATCGAACGTACCTTTGCTGAATTTGATGAGGAAGAAAAATTGTTGCTCGGTTTACAATCCGAGACCTTTTCGCAGTCGAATTTGTTAGTTAGAGTGATTATGCTTTTGGCTCCATCATAACAAGCTCCACAGATTGTATTTCTTGGAGGCCTCAGAATATAAGGCAAGGCACTGCAAACGCAACAGTCCATTATGTGCTTTTCTTACAACAGTTTTTTTTTTTTTGTCGCAATTTGCAGAGGAAAAATCATAAAAACAACATAAATTTATTTGCATAAGAAAAAATTAGGAGCAAGAAGAAGATGAAATGGACTCAAATGGGATTCTTTTTATGATCTACATGTTAGAATTATTGTGTTTTATTTTTAATTTGATTTAGTTTATCTAATTATTCATTTGGTGGGTGTTTTTATTTATTTATATATATATATATATGTAAAGGCTAAGTGCTTCTTTGAAGAGTTGGAAAGAGGAGGCAGTATAATTGTTTTCATTATGTTGGCGGGAATTATAATTAATTAAAAGGAAAGGATTTTAATTTTAGTTGGGAACTAGTTTTGATTGCTTTACGTGGGGTCCCGTTTTGCTCTGGTTGTGTTGTGAATTGACAAATTTGGTGCCCAACTAAATCAGTTTAAAAGGAACGTGGATAGGGCAATTTGGTCATTTACAACTGTCACATTGAGATTATTGTTGGGTGTCTTTTGAGTGGGTTTGAAGAACTTATATGAAGAATGAGTTAGGACTATGATTATGATTATTAAGAAATGCTACCATCAGATCTAATGGTTACAAATTCCAACGGAATGATTCCAGATCTAACGGTTACAAACCTCGACGGGATTATTCCAAATCTAACAGTTACAAACCCCGACGCAATGGTTATGTAACGGGATCGTAGCATCTTCCATAATTATTATTATTATTATTATTATTTTTAGGAAGAGAATAAAAGTTAGGAAGTAGAAAAAGACTTTCCAACCTTAAAGTACAGCTACAATGTGGTAAGCACGTCTTACAACCCACTCCAACTAAATAAACAAACCTCAACCTCAACCTGCCCACACCTATTATTAACTAACCTAATAAAAATCTGCAGGATTTAGGCCTTTTTTTTTTTATTTTTTTTAATGCAAAACTTTGTTATTTTTTGGAAGTTAATTAGTTAAAGTTGCCTACGTGGTGGATTCATATTCCAGTTTGGTCATTATTAATGGCAATTAAAATTGAATTGCACAAATTCGATGTTTGATTATGCACACACACACACACACACACAAATAGGCACATAAGTATGTACTCATTAAATATTAATGTAGCAATGAAAAACAAACTAGAATCGAATATTTGCATGCAAGTTGGAAAATTCTAGCCAAAAGAAAGACTTTATTCCACAAAATGGCAGACTATACAGGCCCATTAGACTAAAATCATAAAAGTAAGTACTCTCTCAGTAAGGTAATGGCCCATTTAACAAAGAAGTGTGAACAAATTGAATAGCCAATTAAAAGCCCAGTTATTAAATTGATTAGCCCAAATACATGGGGCAGTCTCTGTCCACATCAAACCAATAATCATCATACCTATTATTATCCGTAGGCGAGTTCGATCCTATCCATGTAACTATGGGCGTCATTAATTAGGAGTATGTGTTACGATTCAACTCAACCTATCCAAATCGCTCCGGATCTAGGTAACATTTATTTATTTAATTTAAACTCCGAGCAGTAAAGTAACATTTTTACTCGCATGTAGATTAAATTTACAGTGCTAAAAAGGATGACAATTTGGTTAACATTTTTATTTTTTGAAATTGATTTACATACGGATTAACTATTACAACACGAGAATCTGGTAAAAATCACGTGAACAGCTCGTGACATGCCACTCAAAAGTCCACTTTCTTTTGAAATATCAAAAGGCCTAGTCCTTTTTTTTTTTTTTTTCACTCGGCTAGTTTAGCCAATGTCGCATTTTCTTCAGCACGTTTCTCATAGTAATGGTAGGCAGCCGCACCGGAGAGCACCGCAAGAGTCGCGGCCTGTGCGTGCATCCTAACACACACGAAAATTATTACGAAAATTAATTATAAACAAATGTACATATATAATAATTAACACATCATTATGAATGGAAATTAAAAATGTGGGAATTAATTATTAATTAATGAAATAAAAACCTGGCATGAATGAGCCTGAGGCTTGGCTTAAATGTGGTTCTTGCACCTGAATAAGTCATTGAAGCTCCAATTGCCGCAGCCCATAATATGCCTGTCAACACAATGTTAAGAATTTACTAATTAAATAGTCATATTTATTCAATAAATATGTATATTTTTAAATTAAAATATTTATATTAAAAAAATAGCATAAAATTATTATTTTCATAATAAAAAATTACATCTTGATTCTCTTTTCAAAATTGAGTCAAATACTGTAAAAAATTACACACACTAACCAATACTAGTGAGCTTGTGTTTAGAAATCCATGATTGAACAGACTCCATGTTTTCCTTTGCAAGTTCCTCTTCTCTGCTTTGATTTTCTAAATTTCAATGGGCAAAATAACAGTTTAATGCCAAAAGATGGAATGATTGTGACTTGTGAGGAAATTAAAGGGAGCAAAAGGGTATATATATATATATATAGATAATTTTTAATAGGCCTGATAAATAAATAAATAAATAATAAAATATAGTACTGTTTTGGTGTTTGTTGGTAAATGTTTATAGTAGTAGCCCCTTGGTTTTAAAATCTCCCTACTGTAAAAAAAAACCAGTGGCAAGATTTGTTTGGTTATAATGAACTTTTTCAATATGACATTATTTTCAACCTTTTGAAAAAAGCAGTCCTTCAGTGGAGAGCCATTGGTTTTGCTCCAAAACTCTGGTCCCCTGGCCACCTACAAGTGGTAGCTGCTGATATGTAGGTGTAAGAAACTGGGGAAAACGGGTGCGGACCCACTAACATGAAGCGTACCATGAGAGGAAAAAGCCCATATGAAGCTTAAGTGGGGTTCCATCCCAAAATCAATTGGTGGAAGGAGGTCTAGCTTATTAGACTTATAAGGTGAGTCTATTTTCCATGAATGAACGATGTGGGACAACTCAAAAGTGATATTCTAACAGTAGGGATAAGAAAAGTTCTATATTATTGCTTTTACATAAAATATTTTACATGTTATTGAACAGTGAAAGTTAATAGAGCTGCAAACCCGAGTCGATCATTGCGTATCGAGCATGATTGATTTTTCTTTTTTTAGCTGCTCAAGATCGAGCTCGATTTATGAGGCTCGAGCTCGACTCAATAAAAAATTACAATAGCTCGAGTTCGACTCCAACTCGACTCGAAATCAACATGCTCGAGCTCGGCTCAAAAATTTTTAAATGAAAAATTAAAATTACCATTAAACATCTATGTTAATATATATACATGAGGGTATCTTGGTAATTTAACATATATTTCGAGCCGCTCGACAATGCAAAATATGGGCCCGAGCTCGACTCGAGCTTTGACGCGAGCCGGATCGTTTGCAACCCTAATGGAGACAACTAATTGGGTGAATTAATTGCTCATCCAAATTCATCTAATCTAAATTGAATCTATTTCTAATGTTTTGAGAAACTGGTGTCATGTACAAGGGAGCTTATCGCATTGAATAGTAATTTAAAATTTTATTTAATTATAGTTATTTCTATCTAAATATTTTATTGTCATAAATAATACAAATATAGAAAATTATATATTATCGAACACTTCTTATACACAACATTTTTTGTTTAATAGACAAAATAACATGTCTTGCTTATTTTTGTTTACCATATATAATACTCAAACTTTTGTTTTATTCTAAAAGTTGTTATCATATAATGTCATTATTATTATTTATATATAGAAGAGACTTCCTTTTCTCATGTAATGATAAATGTTTATGTACTTAATATTATTTATTAATGTATCCAATTTAAAATTATGCAAACAAAGTTAAAATAAAAATATTGTGGATAAAAAATATTTTACCATATATACACACATTTGATTCTATTTATTTTTCTGCATTTATCGTACCTCATAATATTTTGAGAATAGTAAATAATATCTCTTTCTCTAACACACACACACACACACAACGAAATTCTCTGCCGATCCTTCCTCTTTTGTACCAAAAAAAAAAAAAAAA